TTTGCGTTTCCCTGATGATGAGTGATGTTGAATATCTTTTCATGTGTCAGTTGGCCATCTGTATGTCTTTGGAGAAATGTCTGTGCAGATCCTCTGCCCATTTTTAAATCACAATTGTTTGCTTTTTGCTATTGAATTATGTGAATTCTTTGTGAATTTTGGATATTAGCCCTTGACCAGATATATTATTTGAGAGTATCTTCTCCCATTCAGAAGGTTGACCTTTCATTTTGTAGATTGTTTCCTTTGCTGTGTAGAAGCTTTTTAGTTTGATGTAATTCTACTTGTTTAATTTTTCTTTCATTGCTGTTGTCTTTGGAGTCATATCCAAAAACAATATTGCCAAGAGCAATGTTAAGGTGCTTACCACCTGTTCTATTTTAGGAATTTATGGTTTCAGGTGTTACATTCAATTCTTTAATACATTTTGAGTTAATTTTTGTGTGTGATATAAAGTAGTGGCTCTGTATCATTCTTCTGCATGTGGCCCTCCAGTTTTTCTAACACCATTGATTGAAGAGATAGTCCTTTCCCTGTTGTATATTCTTGCCTCCTTTCTTATAAATTCATTGACCATATATTCATGGGTTTATTTCTGGATTCTCTGTTGTGTTCCATTGATCTGTGTCTGTTTTATACCAGTACAATACTATTTTGATTCCTGTAGCTTTTGTAGCATAGTTTGAAAGCAGGGAGCATGATCTCTCCAGCTTTTTTCTTCCTTTTTGAGATTGCTTTGGCTGTTGGGGGCCTTTTATTTGTTCCATACAAATTCGGGGTTGTTTCTTTTACTTCTATGAAAAATGCCATAGAAATTTTGATAGGGATTGCATTGAATTTGTATATTGCTTTGGGTGATATGGACATTTAAAAACTATTAATTCTTCTAATCTGTAAGCACAGTATAGTTTTTCATTTATTTGTCTCATCTTCAGTTTCTCTCATCAGTATCTTGAAATGTCAGTTTTCAGTGCACAGGTCTTTCACCACCTTGGTTAAAATTATTTCTAGGTATTTTATTCTTTTTGATGCCATTGTAAATGGAATTGTTTCCTTACGTTCTTTTTCTGTTAGCCTTTAAGTCATTTTTGAAAGGAAACACAAAGGAAAGAGGGGAAACATGTGAAGTAACAATTAGATTTCTGGACTAAAGACCTGATTGGTGTATTATTTTAGTAATATGTAAATGTTCAATATACAGCACAAGCCATCACATTCATAGAATGGCCAACATTGGTAGCTTAGAGGATGTCCACTATAGTTTTGTATGTTTGCATTTTGTACCCTAACTATGTCCATGTCATTTAAATTTATATATATTACTGAGCATTTGAGTGTCTGGATCTTAAAGACATGGTGAGAAAGAAAGAAATAATAGGGGGAGGGAAAAGAGCTCTGTTTGAATCTACTTATCCTAATATCTCTTAGATATGGCTGTAGATGGAGATGCAGAGTTTAGGACACAACACTGAAGGAGCACTAACCCTAGCCATCCCCTGAAATAGTATCTTTAAAAAAGCCTCATGTTTCATGGTCTGCCTATTTATCCCCTCTCAAGGTTTAAAAAAAAGTTTCAAATGAATCCCTGGATTGTATAACAGGACCATCTTTTTGCAAATTCTGAGAAATTTGTTAATGAAGGTTTTCTTAAAAACATGCAAACATAATCAGTCTTTGACAGTTGTTCAGTCATTTGTCTTCTGCATGACTAACATAAAGGACCAGAGGCAGCTCATTGCCATGTGCCCTGTAGTTGCCCTTTTAAGTTTTGACATAGGGCAGAAAAATCAATATTATATTGATTACTTTGTTTCCCTTTTTGAAATTTGGTATAGCTGACCATTTTCCCTTTACCAGATGAGATTTTTTTTTCCCTATAGAAGAAATATGGCTGTTATAGAATACTGGGGAAATAATGGAAACTATGGAAAATAAGAATACATAATTCCTGACCCAGACTTCTAGGTGATGCTTTCTTCAGATTGGGTCCTTGTTGAGATTTTGTTTGGATGAGTAGATAATAAAATGCTTTTAGACTTGTTGAGATTTTGTTTGGATGAGTAGATAATAAAATGCTTTTAGACTGTTTAAAAATAATTCCAACCGTTGGAATTATTTTTAAGCAGTCTAAAAGCATTTCTCATTGACAATGGTATACAAATTTCTTGTGATTGAATGAAAGTAGTTCAGATTCAATTGGGCATTATAACTTCAGGTGTTTAAAAGAATGACAGAGTTCTAATTTGTAGAAAGCATATGCATCATTTGAGCAGTCACTTTGCAGCTAGATTTTATGCCATTAAAAAGGCGTGTCACTGGCAAATGGGAAGAAAAACCTGCAACTTGTGAATATAGAACTTTCATGAACCTTGCTCACCAGAAAATTTTGTGCTTCCTGACTCCTGACAGCTGCTATGGCTCCCTGTACTGCATGCTTTGCATTTTGGGTACCTAGTACAAACTCTTCCAACAGTTTCATCTACCTGTCTACCATGATGGTCAGCAGAGCATTCTGCAGCTGTTTGATGAAGGGCTTGAGCACTTCACTTGTCACAGTTGACAAATAACTGCCAAGTAGCATGTACAGAGCTATCCTTTGGGCAGCACCAGAAGAGGCTGCTTGCCTCTGTGGTGACTGGCCCAGATCTCTGAATTCTCCAGGGTTTTCTGGGCTCCTCCAAGGACTAAAGGAAACTGAAGATGCACTGGTAAGTAAGGAAGCTGTGCCCTATGCCACAGAAAGAAAATTTCAGTGAGCTTTGGAGAGATGTCTTAGAACGGAACATTTGTGAACATTTAACTCATGCAAAACAACCCAGATATGAAATTCACAATTTTGGTATCAGTCCTAGAATGGAAAAGAAATTTGTTTGAGACATCAGTCATGATAAAGCTAGGTTATACTGCAATAACAACCTGAAAATTTCAGCAACTTAAAGCAGCAAAGCTGCATTCTTGATCAAGCTCTATATCCAGTACATGTCAGCAAGGAGACTTTGTTCATTGTAGTTTTAGAATCCATCAGTCCTGACTTACAGAGATTCCATCTCCACATACACTTCCATAATCGCAGAAGCAGGGAAGAAGAGAACATGGTGAACCATGTTCTGGCTTTCAAAGCTTTTTAAAGCTTGTATTTCGCTGGCCAAAGTAAGTCACATGGTCATGCCTGCATTCAGGAAGCGATCTATAATTCTCCTTTCAGAAGGGGTGGTGAATATTTGTGAAGAGTTACCACATGCAATTCATAGTCCCAACAGTTAAAATTAGTTATAATAATAGTTGTTGAACAATTGCATAGGATTACTATACCTAAAGTGACCAAAACAACTAAAATTTACAGGATTTTAACATGGCATGTTAAAGTTGAAACAGAATTACTGTTTTCCATAATATTTTTGAGTGGAATTTGTTTTCATTTTGTAGTGCTTTCTCTTGTTAACTTAACAAAGCTTTTTCTCGTGCTTATAGGAAAGATTTAAGCCTCAAAATATGTCATAATTTATCAGTGTGATGTCATCTCTGTATGTTGTGGCATTTTACCTTGTTTTGCATATTTCTGAACATAGCAATAAATTGTAACATGGTAGTATAATAATAATTGGATTTAGTGACTACTAGATGGTATCTTTAAATATCTGCTCATATTTTGATTTTCGTCATTGTTTAACAGAAAATTGAAAGATTTTCAAATAATTTTCTGGATTCTTAGGTTAAGATGAAGAATGAACACATACTTCTCATTTTTGTTCCCTTCTGGAAACATACAAACTCTAGTGTGTGGTTAGCTTTCAGATTGGACCTCAATGATCCTGACCTACTATTCACACTTTTCCATAATCCCCTCCCAAGCTGAATAAGGAGGACCTGTGTTAACAATAGGATATTGTAGAAATGATAGTAACTAGTTCAGATGTCACACTATGACTTAAGACTGACATAGAACTATAAAGAAAAATGAATAAGTAACACAAAAATCAGGATAAGAGTTACCTCTGGAAAGGGGAGTAGGAGGGATTCTACTGGAGAGAAACATGGAACAGTTTAATGTTCTGTTACTTAGTGCTGGGTGCTTCGAATGTTCTTTTTTTTTCAATTAATTTTTACTTAGTTTTTATATACCTCATTTCAAAATAAAAATAAACATTTCTGAGTTTAGTAGTCTAATGAAATGGTCTTTATGAATTAAAAGCAGTAGGTACAAGGCTTCTTAATGAAGTTACAGAGTAAGATTCAATGAATATAGTTTCAGGTCTTGACTTTGCCACTAACTAGCAGAATGACCTGAAGCAAGTCACTTAACCAATCTGTGCTAGTCATCTCATCTGTAAAACTAAAGGATTTGGGTTGGATGTTACTAGAGGACCTTTAATATCCTGTGTACAGAGTTCTTTAAAAGTACTGACATTTGTAAAATAAAAGATAATAAGAAGGTGATTTTGAAAAGTTTCCTTTGGTTGAGAAAATTTGAGTTCTCTGTTTTGCTATCCGTTCTGAGACTTAGTAGCAGTTGCCAGAATCAAACTCAACGCAGCATTTTGTATATGAGAGTAGCATGTTCCTCTGAGTGTCTCTGGGTACAGCGAAAAATGGTATTCCTACTTTGTCATTGTAAACCACATTGATTTAGGATGTTCTCCATTAATATGCAGCAGTGCCTTTACAAGAGAGGAAATAATGAATTTTTGAAATCTATATATGGAAAAATTAATACACTGTATTGGTGGTAGTCTTACAATAGTCTAAAATATAATTATATATATTAAAAAAATGTTTATATTAATGCAATCTTATGTTTACTTAAGTTTAAAAAGTAACTTAAAGTTTAAGAAGTTAAATTTAACTTAAGAAGTATGGTATCGCCAGTAGGACTGTGGATGTATGAATCCAAATATTACTAAATCCATTGTCGGAAGAATGTGTGTGTGTAAATGTTCTAGAATCTAGAATAGATTTTACTGAGGATGTTTACTCATCTTTCTCTTATTCTCGCCTCACAGGAATTATTCTTGATAGAAGTATATTAAAAGAAAAACCTGTACAATGGCCTCAGCAGTACTAAGTTCTGTTCCCACTACTGCTTCTCGTTTTGCCCTGTTGCAAGTGGATAGTGGCAGTGGTTCTGATTCTGAACCTGGAAAAGGTAAAGGTCGGAATACTGGCAAGTCTCAAACGAGCAAATCAACTACAAATGAGAGAAAAAGAGAAAAAAGAAGAAAAAAGAAGGAGCAGCAACAGAGTGAAGCAAATGAGGTAACCGTTACAATTATTTGTGTCTGCTTTCCCAAGAGACTGTAGTATTATAACGGAAGGTACTGCCTTTTTGATCCATGTATCTACAGTACCTGGTCTAAAGGTACTTGGTAAATGTGACTTGAATGAATGGATGTAAATTTGTGTGTATTTAAAGTCAAATGTAATAACATTTTTTAAATGCTTTTTTTTTTCTATCTGTGGAAGCTTATAGGCTCAATCCAAAAAGTTTCTGAAAAACAAGGAAATCTTAAAAGAAAACAAAAGTCATTTGTAAATATAACTAGAGATATAACCAATTAATATTGTGTGTTTTCTGTACCATTATATAGGTTTATATAAATATATAGATACATACATAGACATATAACTATATATTCAAATTTAAACAAAAATGGGATTATTAATAGACTTTTTATAGCTGGCTTTTTAAAAAAATTAGCAGTGACTAGTTTTCCATATGAGTAAATGAAGATGAGTGTTATTTTGTTTTTTTGTTTTTTATATATATATATATATATTTTTAATTAAGGTATCATTGATATACAATCTTATGAAGGTTTCACATGAGCAGCATTGTGATTACTACATTCATTCATACTATAAAGTCCCCCTCACACCCCATTGAAGTCACTGTCCATCCACATAGTAAGAATGCTATAGAGTCACTACCTGTCTTCTCTGTGCTACACAGCCTTCCCTGTGACACCCCCCTACATTATGTGTGCTAATCATGGTGCCCCTTAATCCCCTTCTTCCTCCTTCCCCAGCCATCCTGCCCACCCCTTTCCCTTTGGTAACTGCTAGTCACTTCCTGGAGTCTGAGAGTCTGCTGCTGTTTTGTTCCTTCAGTTTTGCTTTGTTGTTATACTCCACAAATGAGTGAAATCATTTGCTACTTGTTTTTCTCCGCCTGGCTTATTTCACTAAACATAATACCCTCTAGTTCCATCCGTGAACAGAACTAAGAAAACAAATGGTAGGATTTTTTTGCTTCTTATGGCTGAATAATATTCCACTGCATATATGTACCACATCTTCTTTATCCATTCATCTACTGATGGACGCTTAGGTTGCTTCCAGATCTTGGCTATTGTAAATGGTGCAGCAATAAATGTAGGGGTGCATATGTCTTTTTGAATAAGTGATCTTGTTTTCTTTGGGTAAATTCCTAGGAGTGGAATTCCTGGGTCAAATGATATTTCTATTTTTCATTTTTTTGAGGAACCTCCATATTGCTTTTCACAAATGTTTGAATTAATTTACATACCCACAAACAGTGGAGGAGTGTTCCCCTTTCTCTCCATACTCGCCAGCATTTGTTGTTCCTTATCTTTTGGATGTTGTCCATCCTAACTGGTGTGAGGTGATATCTCATTGTGGTTTTAATTCGCATTTCCCTGATGATTAGTGATGTGGAGCATCTTTTCACATGCCTGTTGGCCATCTGAATTTCTTCTTTGGAGAAGTGTCTGCTCATATCCTCTGCCCATTTTTTTACAGGGTTATTTGTTTTTTGAGTGTTGAGGCATGTGAATTCTTCATATATTTTGGATGTTAACCCCTTTTTGGATATATATTCTCCCATACTGTAGGATGCCGTTTTGTTCTACTGATGGTGTTCTTTGCTGTACAGAAGCTTTTTAACTTGATGTAGTCCCATTTGTTCATTTTTGCTTTTGTTTCCCAGGCCTAAGGAGATGCATTTAGGAAGAAGTTGCTCATGTTTATATTCAAGAAATTTTTGCTATTTTTTCTTCTCTAAGTTTTATGCTTTCATGACTTACATTCAGGTCTTTGATCCATTTCAAGTTTACTTCTATGTATGGGGTTAGACAGTAATCCAGTTTCATTCTCTTGCATGTAGCTGTCCAGTTTTGCCAACACCAGTTGTTGAAGAGGCTGTCATTTCCCCACTGTATATCCATGGCTTCTTTATTGTATATTAATTAACCATATATGCTTGGTTTTATATCTGGGCTCTCTGTTCTGTACCACTGATCTATGTCTGTTCTTGTGCCAGTACCAAATTGTCTTGATTACTGTGGCTTTGTAGTAGAGCTTGATGTTGGGGAGCATAATCCCCCCAGGTTTATTCTTCCTTCTCAGGATTGCTTTGGCTATTTGGGATCTATTATGGTTCCATATGAATTTTAGAACTATTTTCTCTAGTTTGTTGAAGGATGCTGTTGGTATTTTGATAGGGATTGCATTGAATCTGTAGATTGCTTTAGGCAGGATGGCCATTTTGATAATATTAATTCTTCCTATTCATGAGCACAGGATGTATTTCCATTTATTGGTATCTTCTTCAATTTCTCTCATGAGTGTCTTGTAGTTTTCAGAGTATAGTCTGTCACCTTCTTTGTTAGGTTTATTCCTAGGTATTTTATTCTTTTTGATGCAATTGTAAATGGAGTCGTTTTCCTGATTTTTCTTTCTGTAGTTCATTGTTAGTATATAGGGATGCAACAGATTTCTATGTATTAATTTTGTACCCTGCAACTTTGCTGAGTTCAGATATTAGTTCTAGTAGTTTTGGAGTGGATTCCTTAGGGTTTTTTATGTACAAAATCATGTCATCTTCAAACAGTAACAGTTTAACTTCTTCCTTACCAATCTGGATGCCTTTTATTTCTTTGTGTTGTCTGATTGCCATGGCTAAGACCTCCAGAACTATGTTAAATAAAAATGGGGAGAGTGGGCATCGTTGTCTTGTTCCCGATCTTAAAGGAAAAGCTTTCAGATGTTGGCTGTGGGTTTATCAGATAAGGCATTTATTATGTTGAAGTACTTGCCTTCTATACCCCTTTTGTTGAGAGTTTTTATCATGTATGGGTGTTGAATTTTGTTGAATGCTTTTTTCAGCATCTTATGGAGATGATCATTTGTTTTTAGTCCTCTTTGTTGATGTGGTGTATGATGTTGATGGATTTTCAAATATTGTACCATCCTTGCATCTCTGGAATAAACCCTACTTGATCATAATGGGTGATCTGTCATGTAGCTGTCCAGTTTTCTCAATACAGGGTAACTTTAAAAGAAAATCATTTTCACCACCATAAAATCTTTCAGAAACCCAATCTTCCAGAACTTTGATTGCCCACCATTTTCTGTTTGGAATTAAAGATGACAATGGAAAGACAGAAAATAAGGTAATAGTGTAGTTTACAGTAGAGACTTAAGGAAACACATAACTGAGAGTGAGCCTGAGGATCCTCTTGTGCCACTTCTGTGGCTTTAGTTCCATCAGTCTCTAATCTCTATAGCATGCTGTAACAGTCCACCTACCAGTGTTTCATCCAGCAGCAGCTCCTCCTCTGTGTTCTTGCCATGGCAGAAAGTAGCTACCTAAAGTGGTGTTTGTGTCTAATCAAGCCTTGTTACAGAATAGTCTATTGATTATAAGTTAAAATTGTTGATTCTCGTTTTAAAGCCTCTTCTTTAGTTTCCTAGGGCTGCTGTTTCGAAGTACCACAAACTAGGTGGCTTAAATCAACCAAAATGTATTCTAACAGTTCTGGAGGTTAGAAGTCCAAATCAAGATGTCAGTAAGGACCGTGCTTTCTCTGAGACTTTTAAGTAGAACCCTTCCTTGCTGCTTCCTTGCTTCCTGTGATGTCTGTCACTCCTTCGCATTCCTCGGCTTCAGGCTCCATCACTCATCTTTGCCTCTGTTGGTACACAGTGTTCTCTTAGTGTATCTTTGTCTTCATCTCTTTTTATAAAGACATCAGTCATGTTGGATTAAGGCCCTCTCTAATTCAGTATGATCTTATCTTAACTTGATTACATTTGCAAAGACCCTATTCAAATAAGGTCACATTCACAGAACCACCGAGAGCTAAGCCTACAGCATGTTTTTGGGGTGAGTACTTACAATTTAATCCATAACAGTATGTCAGTATTTTACTCACTTGTTTCAACTACTGCATCTCAGATTATTCTTGCTGTTGGGAATGGCTTGACCAGTACAGTTTTAGTTCATTATGTTACTTTGTGGAGTATGCCCTGGATTTTTCAGGACTAGTAAAGTAGTCACTGCAGTTGCTGAAGCTGAAGCTGTCTTCTCTAACTGTTTAAACTTTTGAATTTGTAAGCTGTTAAACTTTAATCTTTTTGAATCCTATTTTTTTGCATTTTAAAATCATGCTTATTATTCTGTTTTCTACTCCTATAAACTTCTTCCCTTTAGTAAAGCAGAATCATTAAAACAATGGTATAGTAAAGTACAATTGTTTTCACTTATTAATCATTTCATCTAGAAATCCACCAACATTATCTCAAATACTGGCAAAATTAATATTCCACAAAGATTACAAAACACAAAGAGTGATTTGTGCATTAGCTTAGCAAATGTTTGGAATAATTAGAAGTATAGAAATAGTGGTTTCTTAACTTCCAAAAAAGTCATTAGTATCCCAGGATTGGTAAACTGAATGAATGTATTTTTTGTTTGTTTCATAGCTCAGGAATCTTGCTTTTAAGAAAATTCCCCAGAAATCTTCCCATGCCATTTGTAATGTTCAACATGAGCTTTTATTACCAAACCCAGTGCAGAAGGAGTCACGAGAAGAAAACTGGCAAGAGTGGAGACAACGAGATGAGCAGGTACAGTTAAATCAAATTATTTTGCTTTTATTTCCCAGTGAATTTAAGCATTTTTAAGATATCAGTGCATTTGAATCCATGACACCACTGATTTGAGGAGCAGTTTTGTATTGGATTAATCATGAGTTTGCTGCTTTTTTGTCTAATAGAAAAGCAGATGTTGATACATTTATATTTCTGTTTTGGCAATTCAAGCAGTTATTTTGTGAGCTTTTAATTTATTTGTCTTTTTATAAATGAGAGAGAGAGATGGGGAATGTAGAATAGCAGAATCAAATTATTTCAAGTAGGTAAAATCACTTCCATAGGGTCAGAGGTCTCTTGTTAAAAATACCCATGGACAGTTTTTTTTTTTAATTTTTCTCTTTAATCTGCCCTATATTTCCAATTTTTCATTTTAAAATTATCATTTTTCCTCAATAAAGAGATAAGAAAAAAATTAGTGAACCATCAGTCCTCAGGTGACCAAAATATTAACAGCTTTTTGTATATATATATATCCTTGTATCCTTCTTAATTCAGTTTTTTTTGGGGGTGTAGGGGTCACTGTTATCTGCAAAAAAGAATTCAAAATATGAAATTTTTCTTGCTTCTTGCTATTTTCATTCTTTATAATAATACATCCTGGTCCTTTCTCCAGATCAACAGACAAATTATTAATTCTTTAATTTTATTTTTTTTAAGGTATCATTGATATACATTCTTATGAAGGTTTCACATGAAAAACATTACCCACAGACAGTTTTGCTTGAAAAGGAAAGAATTAGAGGTGAAACTTTTTCCTTTTCAACCTTGATGTAAAATAGTTTATGGTATTTGTTTCTTTAACCTATTATATATTATTCTTCTGTGCCTCTATATTACTAATAACCAAATCAAACAGATACTTTATTGAGACCAATCAGTTTCTTTTTTTTGGAAAATGACATACTAAGCCTGGAATATACTGTAGGAGATGCTGTACATGTGGGAAATGAATATTTATTTATTTGCTTATCTGTTAAACTGTTACTGATCTATTGGGAATAGGTATTATTCAAGCAGATGTTGGGCTTAATGAAGTGGCTATATCTATCATGCTAAAAACCTATCAGTTTTAAAAGAATTAGACTATACTAAGCTATGCTGTTAACATAAACTATGGTAATTATAACATTTTCTTTGGGATTTTATAGTGCTCCAGGCTTATCATTGTAAGAATCAGTTACTACACTAGAGCTGTGTGAAAGTGCTGTTCAGAAGATATTTCCAGGCACTGGCATACTGGATAAATCATCTTGTATTATTCTAGAGGGTTTTATTTGATTTTTTTTCCTTCTACTACATTCATTATGACAAATTCTTCTGGTTTACAAATATAAATGTAATGATCTACTTGTTTAGACTATAATAGAATTTATTAGTGTCTTCACCAGGGAGAGTTTCTCCCAGTGGTCCAAAGGGCACTGGAAAATTAATGGAGGAAAACTCAGATTTGCATCAAAATAAGTTCCACGTTATATGGTAACTTGAGCACAGATATTTGATTGCCCTTCTTCCTGCCCCAACTGATTGCTACCAAAATGACCAGGTAATAATGAAAAGAAAATAATTGACTTGGCCCTGACCCAATATAGGAATGTCATCCAAATCTGAGAAACTCTGAGGGATTTCTACTGGTTATACTAGTGATGGATCACTAGGAAAACCTGGTACCTTTTGGAAGTCTCACTTGCAGGAAAATAATCGAGGACATGGGAAGTAAAGGCTGGGATAATTACATGGACAAGTGAAGAAGAGGTAAGGGCAAGCTTTGGAACAGATGCATAGTGTAGTGTTCTACTTGGAATCTATTTTATTATGTTGAATAATAGATTTTAAAAGTAGGGCCCAGGCAGTGATTATCCTAGGCAGCAAGTATACAGTATGGTGGGTATTCTCCCTGACACAATAGGGAAATAGCACTATGAGAAACTTCAGGGATTGAGGTTTGAGCCAGATAAAAAGCTGGTTATAGAAGTCTTGCCTGTTATGTGGCTGCTTATTTTAAACATAAAAGAAAAATTATACTAAGAAAAAGTTTCCTGCTCCTACATCACCAAAGGGATAATGTACATTTACATCAGCAAAACCTCAGCATAAAATCTTGGAGCTGGCATTAAACAGAAGCCAGAGGGATGGTAAAGAAGCATCCATTCCACCAACTTATGAGCAAATACTGGATCTGAGTTGGTCTTATGTCAACTAAAGAAAAGTTTCTGCCACATGAAAGTGTCCAAAGTGAAAGCATACTTTAGAAAAGATTTGTTACATGGGACAGAAGTTGATTTTAGACAGCCCCTATTTTTTGCTTAAATAAAAACCAAGAGGCTAAAGCAGTTTATTAAAGTCAAGGGGATAGTAATATTTTATAACAAGGGAAGATAATAGACTGAGGTGAAAAAGTTGGTAAAAGAAATTGGAAGGGAGATAGGTGAAATAAAAAAGGGGGGAAGTAAAATCATAGCCAAACTAAAAACTTCATTAGAGGGACTCAAGAACAGAGTATGAAATTGACATGATAGATTGGAACACAGAACTGAAATCCAATGAACTGAAAAACCAATGAAATTGACATGATAGATTGGAACACAGAACTGAAATCCAACACAGGTATAATTAGTGTCTCTGAAACAAGTGGAAAAGAGTCAGTCCTTAAAGATACTATTGACAAACTTTTCCTAAAGCCCTGAATCTGAGCTTGAAAGAACTGAAGCCTTTCTTTAAGGACTTTTTTTAGAAGATTTTCTAATAAAAGACTAATTTTAAGAATGAGAAATAGGGTTGAGATAGCTGTGGGGTTCTTAGAGGAAGGTTAGTTTGGCCAGTGGCCTATGCTTGCTAAGACGGCACCTTGCAGAGGAAGGTGGAGAGGTATAATTGTAGCACCAACCAGCTGGTGAGTCCTCATGCCTGGTAGCCAGGGAACTGAGACCAAAAAAAAAAAAAAGACAGAGAGAGAGAGAGAAAAAAACAAGGGAATAATACTATAAATATAGTTGACCCTAGAACAGCATGGGTTTGAATTGTGTAGGTCCTTGTATGCGAATTTTTTTCCTTAAACATACTGGAAATATTTTTGGAGATTTGCAACAATTAAGATTTTTTTGGTTTAGCTTTATTATAGAAATACAACATATAATACATATAACATATAAAATATATGTTATTTGACTGTTTATATTATCATTGACTAGTCCAGGCAACAGTAGTTTATTAGTAGTTAAATTTCAGGGGAGTCAGAAGTTACTTGTGGATTTTTGACTGCCTGGGGGCACCCTAACCCCTCAGTTCTTCAAGGGTCAGCTGTATATGCATGGGAAAAAAACAAGTTGCTGCTTTAGATGCCAGAATTGAAATGTTATGGTGAAGAACTTCATCTCTAGCCATCTCTAGTCATTTTGGTTGAATGCAAAAGAAATAATACTCTCAGACATGCAAGGGTTGAGAAAGCATACCACCATTATCCTTTCTGCAAGTTTTTCTGAGACATGTTATTCTCAATTAAAAGGCAAATCTAAATAAAGAACACAACAATTGGAAAGCACCAGGGTGAGCGTTGAAGTTACCTCAATGTGCAATTAATAAATGTGGTTATTAAAGAGAACATAACTCAACGAATTAGTCTGAAATGAAATTTCTGTCTATGAATATAAAAATTAGGAGAGAAATGGGTCAAAGGAGTCAATAAGTGTTTTTAAATTTTTCATATTGACAACAAAATAAATAATTTCAAGATTTTTTTTTAATTTAAAGAGAATTACCTATACATGGAACTTTTCATTCTATGAGTTTCAAATCACTTGAAGAAAGAAAAACAAGGCCCATATAGCAAAAGGTATAAAGTAAAAGAAATGTCAAGGAAGTGTTTGAAATAAGGTATAAAAAAAAGATACTAGACAAATACTTTGTTTTATAAATAAATGTAAGTAGTTGGATTTACCCATTAGAAGACAAAGACCAATTGTGACAGATTGGACCACATCTTGATCTTAATTCTTATCTTTATCTTAACATTAAAAATTGTGACATATTCATCCTGAAAGGATAGGTTCAGGCTATTCAACATACTGTATGTTTTGCTGAAATACACTACCAAAATGGCTGGAAATGGTATAGATGATCTTTACTGAATTGTTGGTGACTTCAATGTTTTTATCTCATTTTCCATTTCATAAACTTGAATCTATCCCAACATACTTCAGTGTGAAAAGATAGTCTTGCATTCCCTATTATTTTGCAGAGATGTATATATCAAAAGGAAATATAAGTATTTCACACTTGAAATGGTCAAATTTTATGTGACATGTAAAATATGTGAATTGTATCTCAGTAAAGCTGTTTTTAAAAAGATGAATAGGCCATGGCTTTGATTTGATTATATCTTTACTATTTCTTTTAATATTGAATTAAGATCAAGAAACATTGTTCACCAATACCTGTTGCCTGGGAATAAATCTCTGTGGAGATGTTCAAGTATAACCTTTTTTATTTATAATGCACTGATATTACTGATTCCAGTGTACCTTTTTAAAAGTCTACATCAAACTCAAAAATAACTAACTGGATAGAGAAATCTCTTTTCATGGGTTTTCAGTGATAAACAGATAAAATTTAATTGTGAATTTCTTCCTCATTATATTGATACAAACATTGCACATCACTGGTTTTGCCAACTCTAAAGTGAAATATCTGCTAGTATGTGCATGATAGTAATTGTTTTTTCATACTGTATCCTTCATTCCACCTGATAAAAATGCTTTGCCAATAGCTTGCTCTGGTTTTTTTTTGTGAGAATATTTGTTACAACCTTGTGGCTGGTTTAAGTCCCTTGGCAGTACCTTGACTTGCATCTGATTCCCTGTAAAAGTACAAATTCAAAGAGGATTAAAGATGGTGGCATGAGAGGTGAGAGGTGAGACAGAGGCTTTCTCCTAAAATTGCATCTAATACAAAAATATAATTAATACAATTAATCTTGA